ATGAATGTAAATTTTATGTTGACCTACAAACCAAATTCACTCTAATAAGCTTCTAAATCTTCCAAAATATCTACAGGATTATTAACAACCGAACATAGATCATTCTCTCTTGCATTGAAATTATAGCTATATTGCCCAGATTTTCTGAATGGCATTTGAATTTTTTAATTTTTATTTCGTGCTTTTTTCCTGGGTTCCTGGTGTGATTTGGCCGTAGCCTCAAGGAAATACAACTCTACAACAGGGAGAGAAAAGCAACCTCGCGCACGTGTGAAATCCCACAGCCTTCGTTGTTATTTTCATAAAGTTTTGTAAGCAGACACGAAAGAGACCGTCCTTTTCAAATGTCAGTTGATCCGGAATACGTGCAGCTAATAAGTCCTCAATTAGACCAATTACACCTCAGCTTCTATCATTGTTTTTTGTAGGTTGTAGTTAGTAGATTTAACTTGCTGTAGAGAAGTCAAAGATGAATGCTGTCATGTTGTCACCTCTTTTGACTTGACTAAATTAACCGACTAGTCATGCAACTGTGCAACAAAAAATGTCCCAATCAGACCTTTTTTCCCGAGTCCTTCTTATGGGTGTTTCTAAAAAAACGAGGAACGGGCAACGGGCAACGGGCAACGGGCAACGAGGTTGGGGAACGGGATAACGTAAAAGGGGAACATAACAGATAATGGGTAAGAGACTTACTAATAGGGCTTTTCCCATTATTTCAATTTTCTGTTCCCCGTGCTCGATTTCCGTTCCCCGTTCCTTGTTTCAGTAACAGACTTCAGATGGGCCAAAAAAACTAAAATTGGTTTTCCTATCTTCTGATTGGTTCTAGATCACGGTAAGCGAGTCTAAACTCTGTCGGTACGTTTCGCACGTGCACAACTACAGCACATTGGAAATTAAATTAAAGTACAATTTTCAAATTGATAAGCAAAAGACTATTTGTCGAATACTGATTGTTTTCCTGAATGAAACCCTTACTAAAATGGTAATAGGTTGCATGCGTTTCGTGCTTATAGACAGACAGAACCTTTGCCTTTTTAATAGGGCATGATCGAGTGTTTGTGTTTTAAACAATTGCATCCATTAACAAGTCGTACACCACTCAGTTTATAAAGGTGAAAACTAAAGGGGAAAATACCGCGGACATCCGCGTTGTTATTTTAATCCATATGTATTTTAACAACTAGACAAAGACCCAACAAAAGCATACACACCTTATGAAAATTTCACAAACAGCCTGCAAAAACAAAAGAACTTTGCGTTGGTTGAACTGAACGCCTTTGTTTTTTCGTATTAAGTGTTTTCCTGCCTTTACCCATTTTTTGAAAGACCACACTCATTGACGACCGATTGTTTTGTAGACTATTTTTTCTACAGAATGCTTGTCACAATGTTCGGCAAATTTTTCGTTAATGTGATTTCATTGAAACCCTGTTTTACGAACATCCTTTTTAACACGGGCACGCAGTAAAAACAGACTATTATACTTGTCCCAAAAAGTTCATATATTGTTTCTTGAGGATTAGTGCGCCTAAAACGGACACCCGACCGGTGACGGACAAAGGGCACTTCACTGAAGTGAACCCTCTTCAATGAGCTTTAGGACGTTTTAGGGACGTTAGCGGATCTGTGTACTTTCCTTTTATCTGTGAAGGAAGTGCCAACGAATTTCAATGCACGGATCAGAAGCCTCCCCGTATAGACAAATTGAATGCTGCAAAGTTGATCAATGTGTCTAATCAGTGTATATTTTTCCTGATCAGGTCTTCTAGAGATCCTACGTTCTGTGGCATATTCGTTTGCGGCCCTTTGCAGTTTAAACTTAAACGTCAATTTATTTCTCCCCGTATAGGCTATTAAAGGGAGTCGGGTTTCGACAGCAAACTTACTTTAAGCGCGACCAATTCGTGACACGCGAAGGATGCACGTGCATGTTGTGGATGTTTTGCAGGGCTGGGAATATCGAGGGAAGGGAAAAAACAAAAATTGATCAAGGCTGGAAAAAGTTTTATTATTTTGAATGAGCTTTTAGCACTTAAGACGTAAAGTGGATAACTAAACGATCGATTGTATTGCATTGTTTTGTAGTTTCGCTGTTGTACATTACGTAACAGGTTGTCTCGTCAGTTGCCAGCAACAGACCGGCTTTGTAAAAGCTGTTTGGCTTCGATATTTTTGAAAAGCAATCCTACCTCTTTTATAGTAATCACTAGTTTTTAAAACCAAGATTACCGTTCAAACACCACGTTATTTTGGCTGTACAGGCTTGAAATCTTACAGAAGCGAGTCCCCCCGGAAAAGAATCCGCAATAGAAAGGGTTCTTTTTTCCTGGACAGTCTTTGAGGTGTTATTCAGATGGCGCACATGAAAAAGGAGAAAGATTTACTCGCTAATATTTTTACCACCGAGATCGTGCCGTGGCATCTGTTGGGTACGTTTTCGTGTTGTACAGTGTTTTGATTTTCATGATTTTTATGGCACCATTGACCCCATATGAAGCCAACATCGAACATGGTCTTAACTGTGTTTTGCCACGCGTTGATTGATGGGTGAAAGGAAATTAATACGATAGGATAAGATCGCTTTTGTAGGATGAATTACATGTGAATTACCATACTCTAAACTAATGAATTGCCACTAACAGGCCACTTGAAAAGCCGGTCAAGATCTTTAGGAGTTCTCGTTCAGTTGAAGATCGATTCCAACTGATTCTTGGCATAACCTCTCTTCACCTCACAAATATTTACATTGTACAGCTGCACTATCCACCATCTCTTGGATTCAATCAAACCGATCAAAGGCAGTGATCGAGGTAGGCATCTATAAGTAGTTCTCTTCAGCTATATCCTCTGTCGATAATGTTCCGGCTGAATGTTATACTTATCGGCATACAAACACTCAAGTGGATAATGGTCTTTGGCCCAGGTCTCTTGGCAAATAAGTACGTTTCTTACCCGTCGATAGAGTTAGAATATGATATGACAATGTAAAGTCCAGGAAAGTTTTAGCTCAGTAGCTATCATTAGCTAGTACTAGAGCTAGTGCTAGTACTATCGTTTTAGCTGGCATAATTAATCTCCCTGAATGTAGAGTTATAGTTCTACTAGGTCGTAGCCGGCTGGGCCCTTTCAGACGGTTTTTCCAGCAAATTTCGATCACCCGTTCCACTTGTTTACATTCTCACAAACGATTCAAGACTTTTGCAAATTTTCATGAAGTTTCTTTTCATTTTAGATAAGAACAGGGTGCTTCGTGCTATAATTCCATTTTATTTGCATCTACATTCACACATCATAATGAGCTGAAAAACTATATGTAATATGTGCCTCATTGTCCGATGATAATCGTTTTTCCTTCTGTCTTGCAAATGACCTCTCACTTGTTTTTTTTCTTTCCGGCACGGGACTCCTGAAGACTTTTATTGTCTGGCAAATACCCTTCATCAAATCTTCTGTATTCATTAATTATACATGCTTGTCACCATTGTTTGATAACATAAACTGAACACGACGAGTTTGAGATCGACTGTTGTTACACAAAAAGTGGATTGCTAAAATAGTGGGTTTTTTCTCTCAAAATCGATTATTCAAGGCGTCAACGTGACATTTTCTTGCGACACTTACGAGACCTCTCGTTTGACCGCTCGTGCTCGCTCGCTCTTTTACCCGCGTTCTCGCGGGCTAGGCAAAACTACTAGGCGAACTATTTTGAAGTCTACGCAAAAATGGGAACGGTCCACTCTTAAAAATGGTGTTGATTTTATTATGTACGCAACAAAGATGGTTTGAACAAACTGCAAAAAGGAATCAAGGAAACCAAGAATAAGTCAGCATCATTTCCAGGATTTTCCTGAAAAATCGGCCTGGAGCCAACTTGCAAGGGAATCGGGAAGCGGAAAGCGGGAAGCGGTGGGGTGGGGAATCCCGTACTCTCTATGAGTGTGCCGAGCAAAACAATAAACTTGTACTGGCCATGAATTTTGGTTCATTTTGGAAGCCTCAATAACTGTTTTCTTTGTTATTGAAATACCGTAAAATTCCGAAGATAAGCCCCTCCAAATATAAGCCCCCCAGAATTGTAACGCAAAAAACCCTCCGTTAAATCGCCCCGCTCCGAATAAGCCCCCCTGGGGGGCTTGTACTTGGAATTTGCCCTCGAATACAAAGTAAAACAAAGCAAAAATGGTAAATTTCCTTCCCACTACAAGCTAGCCCAATCGATTTTGAAACGCAAATTTCTCTCCGTACATAAGCCCCTCCGAGCATAAGCCCTTCCAAAAATAAGCCCCTCAAAAAGGGCCTTTGAAAAATATATGCCCCACGGCTTATTTTCGCAATTTTACGGTATTGAAGCTGTTTGAGCAGCTCTCTAAACTTTACCAACAAGCACAAGCGAGGTGCACCCAGGTCAGTATTTTTTCTTTGTGAAACTGATAATTATGTTCAATCACGGAATTTTGAATCACCATTCTCAGACCACTTAAGAAGCACTTAAGTCACCTTTATAGGCATAACTGCCAAATTAGATCTGCATATTTTAGAAAATGCTAGTTAAAACTGTTTGCTTCCATTGGTGATCCTGAAAAGTGAACTGCAAAGTAGCCTCCCACGCAGACTTTCTTAGGGGTTCGTCACGCGTTGGGGTAGGAACGCGTGACGAACCCCTAAGAACGTCTGCGTGGGAGGCTAACTGCAAAGGGGATTGACGGCCTATATGTGGATTGGTAGGTCTTGTAGAAGTTTCATGAGTATTAAAGTCCTAAATTTTCGCTTTAAAATGGGGGAAGAGTTGATGAAGGAACAACGATTTTCTATACCAGGTCATCGGTTCCTGGCCAGGAAGAATTTTCTCACTCACACCTGATACTAGTTGAAGTGAATATAGAGGGAACCTAATTTGTTTCTCTCATTCGTTTCAGGTGAAAATTTACCACACTAGTATTCTCTCAGACGTTGGAAGGGCTGTTTTGTCACTGAAATAACTTTCTACCCGAACAATGAACAATTCCACTGATATCCCGAACGTTTCTCCCTTAACCTTGGACAAGAAGGAACTCGAACCGAAGTTCGTCGAGACCATTCGCCTCATCTTAAGCGCTATCATCTGCTCCATTGGCATTGTTGGTAATCTCCTAGTCGTCATTATCACGTGCACAAATCGCGCCAACAAGACCGCTGTGCACAAGTACATCCTGAACTTAGCCATTGCGGATATTGGAGTGCTGGCTATATGCTATCCCCTCACTCTTGTTAAAGCTGCAGACCCGTTACAATGGCCTCTCGGGAAGGTTTTTTGCGAGGTTTTTTACCCATTATCTGATATCTTCTACAGCGCGTCTATTGGCTCGATCGTTGCCATAACGATCGACAGGCACCGAGCAATCGTCCGTGGTATGACGTCACACAGGTCGCTGTCAGTCGCTAAATGGGTGATAATGGGAGTTTGGGTGTTAGGTTTTCTAGCAGTGGTGGTCCCCCTGTACTTCGTCATGGAATTCATTGAAGATAAAGAGAAGGGGACTATAGACTGCACACCAGTTTGGCCAAATATCGCGACAAGTAAAAGCTACGTCATCTCACTTACAATTTTCTGGTACCTACTTCCGCTGGCCTTGATACTGTGGGCGTACAGACAGATCGGCCGCAAGATTCGCGCAAGCAAATTACTTCACAAGAAAATCAACAACATGCGCGGAAGCTACAAGACTGAAAAAAAGAAAAAGTTTGATAACGCCAACACAAAAGCGTTGAAGATTCTTGTACCAGTAGTTATCACTTTCGCTGTTACAATGTTTCCTTTTCATGTGTTTCGGGTCGTTTCGCAGTTCGTGATTGTTGAAAAGGTGAAGTACATTTGGGTTGTATATAATATTTGCACGATTCTGCTGTTGTCCAACAGTGCCGCAAATCCAATCATATACTCGCTTGTCAGTGCAGAGTTTCGACAACGCTTCAAAGACATCTTCAGTTTAAACTGGCAGCGTCTTTGCCAAGAACCCGTGAAGCGTAAAACGGACTCATTTTCATACCGTTTTTCCTCTACCCAAGTCAAGTCGCCCAACCCAGACAGGGAAACTAACGTGTAGTTGTAAGGCTGTTGATGTGATCAATATGCTTCTAGTTGTACTGTTTATCGTGTTGCAACGAAGAAGAGTAAGACATAAGTCTAACGTAAAGACCATTCAGAGACCTTCATGTGGCAACTGCTTTTTGTTACTTGTGAGATTAGTTTACAGAAAGTAGAACCACTCATATGAAAGATATTTGCATCGGTGTTTGAAACAATACAAGAAAAAGCGGGACTAGTTTATAACGAATAATAACGAATATTTGCTTCTTAGGGGACTTTCCTTGCTCTTCCCTATACCCAGACATGTCTCTTACTATGCGCAAAGGACGGCGAGACGGTGAAAGCTGGCCCGCCTTCCCTACCCTAGCCGCCCCAAGATACCTTGTGCTTCGCTTTTGTCTAGTCATTTGCCCCGCTAACTCACGTGAGTCTCGAAGAGCCCCTAGAGGCTGCTGCCCTATGCTTTTGTCCTTTTGGGCCCGGTTAATCGAAAGATGATTAAGGTTGACCCATGGTTAAGCCAAAATTAAAGGAAAGATTTCTTGTCAAGGAACACGTATCTGAAGATTAGAAACTAATATTGAGCTTCAACTCTAAGATCCAGCTGTGACGACAAAGAATGATAATTTAAACAATTTGTAGGAAATAAAGTAAAATCGTGGATTACAATTTTAATCCTGAATAAGCATTAAGCGGCCTTTCACAGGCCAAGTGATTTTAATTACAGCCTGGACTTGGCGCATTACAGCTTTTTAGAAGGCTGTACAGTAGTTTAGAACCTCGCTATTACGAAAGGCCAAGATACTGGCATAATGTGTTCGCAGTAATATCGAAGTTTTTTTTCCATGTATTTTACTTTTACTTGATTAAAGAGAATCGTTCGTTATACCGGGGATTTCGTTATATAGAAGTGGGCGGTTTTATTGAGGTTCCACTGTATTCAGTCGTTGTCACTGATTTGCAAGCTGTCGGGTCACAGACCGAATAAAGATAAAATCGTAAAAGAACAGTTTCTTTATTCATGTCTCCAAAACAAGCGACGAATTTACCACAAACATAAATACTTCCAATGCAGTCTGTCCATTTTTTTGACAGCTAAAGGAGTTAGCATCTTTCTCGTACGCATTTACTATCAAAATAACAGCATATATTTTGTTTCATATTATTTACATTACACAATAGTAAGTCACCGGTTACTTTGCGTACATCCACACTCTTCCACAGAATAAACTCGCAAAAATCATGAAATCAGAGCTGTCCGAGGGCATGTGCCTCCCCTTTTTAATTTTGAACGATTTTCGATGATCGTCCTCTTGTTAACGGACACGGGCTTTCAAGGTCTGTATTTTGCCTACAGGTGTTTTCTTTTTGCTTAAGAATCTTAATAAAAAGTAGATATTAAACTGTCCCAACGTTTTTCCTCATACCAACACATCTTTAGACTACGAGTAGTCCCTCATTTTCCCTCAGGCGAGCGTAGAGCGAGCGTAACGCGACGGCGTGTGAAAATCACCCCACGCGCTCAACACGCGCTCGCGTTTCAGTCACTCTACGATCCCTCAGGGAAAATGAGGTTCTACCCGTAGTCTAGCACATCTTTGCCTAGAACATGAAGTTCCCGCATGAGACTTTCTCTTTAGGGTTGGCCATCAAGAGACTCGGTTCTAGGCGAATCTTGACATTATTTAGCCTACGTAGCTGGTGGGTTGCAGCGGGTACTTTCTTGGCGGCTTGTTCCCAAACTTCTCGCGGCTCAAACGCCAAAAAAGAAAAAAAAAAAAAACAGCACTCGCCCACAAATCCCGCCAGCTACTCAGGCTAGATGCTATTTCAAGAATAAAAGGGAGCTTAAAACAGCGATGACGGCAGGGGAAACTTCCCTTAGAATAGTATATTACTATTCTGTCAAACTCTAGAGCGACTATTCCTGAACATGCACAAATTTGAAAACGTGAAATTAGGAAGTTGTACGTCGTAGTCGTGCAACGACGTATAAGAAATGTACACAAAAAAAGTGAGATGTTGTTCATTACTAATCTTAACCTGTTGCTTTTTTTGCCATTTTCGTTGCCGGCGCCGTCGTCGTTGCGCATGCTTAACAAAAAAGCCGCGAGAGTGAAGTGCTGTCGTAGGACGGAGATCTGGGAGAATGGGGCCAGCATTAAAGGGCGTGCTTGAAGACAGGTACTTTGAAACGAATTTTTTTCAGACGAAAAAGTGTCTAAATGAGGAAAACGTTTTTTTGAACAGTTATCTCATAACCTGTAGGCCACAACATTAACATTTCAGATTTTAAAGAAAACAAAGACCGATGCAATTTAATCGAATTTTAGAGAAAGTCATGAATAATGCATGCAGTCGTTTCTGTAGACAAGGGTATTGTTGGGAATAAAGTAACCGGTATCATCTCTCTTCAATATTCCTCTACAACCCATTCATTTTCTGCAATAAAAGCATCGATTACTTCCTTCATGACAAGGTTGGGACTAAGCTGTTCCTGTTTTAGATCTGACCTCGTCACTGGGTCGAAATGTCCAACGCGCTGAAAAACAAGACAACCTTGGAGTGATTTGTTGAGTTCGTAAGTAAGATGCTGGTAGACTGTGAAGTCGCCCAAAAGTCCGGCATCTCGCCCGAAAACAGAGTTATGTCGCCTGAAATTTTAACATGCTCAACAGTATCCTAAACTATATCGCTCTTGTTTCTTCTGTTCTTTTTGTTTCGTCTCATCGTGACTTAATTAAAGAACGAGATACAGAAAAAACCCGCGAGTTTGAAGGACCTACATTTTCCAAAGTTAGTCTAAACAGGTTCTTACAAAAATAGCAATTAGCACAAATTTACAGGCTATTTCGGTTCTTAAATACGTTACGACTATCTAAAGAAAAAAATACATTGTAGCTGAGAATACTTAATGGTATTCAGCTTATTTCTTATACAAAATCTGCCATTACATTGCAGTTCACGGAGTGATAAAGCACCTATGTCTCCAAAGAGGATCCTGAATGTTGCATTATCTTATTTTAACAAAGTGTACAGAATTTTGTTTTAGAAAATAAGAACCAGTTTCAAATATTTTTTTGTTAATTATTTTTTACGCTTAACAGGTTCTTGTATAGAGGGGGCCTAACTAGCAAATTTTAGCCTAACAGGTTCTTAAAACCCAGGGCCCAGTTGTTCAAAGGCCGATAAGCACTTAACCCAGGGTTAAATTTAACCGGGGTTTCTTTTTCTTTCGCTCAAAAAAATTTTCTCAAATATTTTTCTGTTATTGCTGACAAAAAGAATTAAACTGAATTTACTTTTTAAGCTTTCATATCTGAATTCAAATTTCGCACTAACCCTGGGTTACCTTAACCCAGCTTTGAACAACCAGGCCCAGGTTCTTACTCACGGGTTTACACTGTATAAAGTATAACGCGTATATCGCGCTTGGTTCGTCTCAACATGGTTTAGCGCACACTGCTTTATTCAACTATATTTTTCTGTGCATTACACCGGATAAAATTTCGGGTGACATGACTCTGGTTTTAGGCGACTTGACCGGTTACCGAATAGTTCCTGGCTTCATTTCAGCAGCTCTACTTAGAGGGGTTACTTTCAGGTAAGTTAAAAAAAATACATGGTCGTGTCAAAGACGATTTTTAGGGCAGCAATGCTGGAATAATGTTGTAACAATTTGAAACAATGTTGCAACGCTGTGCTGCTCTAAAAAAATCGCGGTGGTGAATCGTCCCATGCAACATGGCCTCAACTGTCATGGGACACATTGAATAGCAGCCATAAGACCATATGCAGCAGTTCCCCCCTCCCTTCCCACCCGACTGAATTCGTCGTTTGTAACCACAAGACAAAGTACCAGTGTTGGTGGACAAACAGGATAAATAAAGGTGATGTTACACGAGACAATTCGCAGCGACGATTTTTAGTGCAGCACAGCATCACAATATTGTTGGGACATTGTTTCGAGTGGTTACAACATTGTTCCAACATTGCCACGTTGCGTTGCGATTAGAATCGTGGTGGCGAATCGTCTCGTGTAACATCACCTTAATGATAATGGGACAGAGATGAAAACGCCCAGTATAGCTGTAAATTGTAAATTGTAAATAAATTGTAAATATCTTATTATCCACTCCCCACAGGGCTTTTCAGGGATAATTTACAACACTGGTTGGGGGACTTTGCCAGACTGCTTAAGTTGCAGTTTACAAGTACTGAAGGAATGAGTGATGATGCCCAAGATGTCATTACAAAGGCAGCACTTTCTCCTCAGTTATTTAAAGACCCTGAGTGTTGGTCCGGCCGGGGTTTGAACCTACGGCCTCCCGCTCAGCAGACCGGTGCTCTCCCAACTGAGCTAACCGGGCGGCCCTTGGGATATCTGAATTTCACTGGTCAAAGTTATTTTTAGACCAATTAAACGCTTCAAATTAATCGGAAGTTGGTCTGCAGACAGAGGTCTGCAAATTTGTATTCAGTGTTGTCTAGAGGGAATTCAAGAGATCCCATTACATTCGTTTGCATACAGTAGCTGACCAGTGCGACCCCAGTGATGACCCCAGAAACAATAGACCAATTTCAGTATATTAAAATATTATTCATACTTGATTCCGAGGCTTGGGGGAATAAAACATAAGAAAATTAACATATTATTCATTACTGAGCCTCAAGATGATTTCTTTTGTTTTATTCCCCTTAAGCCTAAGAGTCAAGTATGAATTATGGAAATTGGTCTATTGAGGGATACATCTCAGCTTCAGGCCCTTGTTGTTTCTAAATTAGCGAATGAAGTGAATAACACAGGAATTGGCAACTTACTTGCAGATGTTCCTCAATGTGCTTTCTATCATACCTGTTCACAGTTAAGAATTATCTTTTACTAGGTGTTTTTTTGTTTAATATGATATGATTGTGGAGAGGGGTACTTCCCATATTGACCTATATGGGAAGGCTTCACCTGAAAGGGGTACCTTTTTAAGGCTTCCAATATACACAGGGGGCCAGATTTCATAAGTTGAAGTATATGAAAGGGGAGGGAAATCTGTGATTTCTGTGTGTTAAAAGACACAAAAGGGCCAACAGATGCATCTTATGGCTGTGAAAAAGTCGAGAGAATGTTCTGCTTTTGTGACATATTCATACATAAAACACAGTGAATTAACAGCAGTTAAAAGGGATGCAAAGATCTAAACTAGGTAAGTGAAATGGGTACCATTTGTGAATAGAAGGTATCCCATGTATAAAACTCTGTTGAGTACCCCCCCCCCCCCTTCCCAGGTATGTCACTTAAGCAGCACCCATACAGAATGATTAACATGAAACATTTTTTCCCAATTAATTAATTTGTGTTGGGAAACTTAGGAGTTGAAAATTTTCATTGTTTTGCAATGGCCATTTTAAGGGGCTTCTTTCAAAGGTGTTGCACCCACCATGTTGCACTAAAGTTTTTCTCACGATCCGCATTATTTTCAGAGTGACCATACATCAATAATTTACCTAAATTTCCTTTGCAAGCATTTAGATCTGAATTATCATGAGCCAGCTTTGAACAACTGGCCCTGATGTTTACAACAATTTTAAAATAGTTTATCTGGAAAGGATACGTTATTCCACTGGGTGTAATGACAGGATCCTTCATAAGCTCAAAACTTATCCGTCCACAGAGGTAATCTGGTACTTCTCTTTTCTGGAGAAAAAAAGGCGAGAACATGCTCTCATTAACCCTTCCACGGAAAAAATGAATACAGCCCAAAGTGACCTCTGATTAACTTCCTCCAAAATTATCAGCATTTTGTGCGCTATCTCCAGGGTGAGAATTGATCAGAAGTAACTTAGAGACTAAAAATTCAACACAGTGCTTTTTTGATCTCTGCATAGGTAATCACATGATTTAAGCACCAGTCCATTTTTTCCTTGGAGCGCTTAATACTGTGTGTATTTACCGGTATTCCAAAAAAAGATTATCATACTTTCTTTTTTTTGCACTGAGTTGCCATTCTTCCTCCCTGTGTTTCTTGAAAATTGCATTTCTCTTAGCCAATGGGAATTGAGAAATTCTTTATTGTTTTATCACACAATACAAATCTAACTACGTAAATACAAAACAAACAAATTAAAGTGCATTTGAAATTAAATTACCTTCCTTCTTTCATCAACTTGTTTGAAGAGGCTGTTTACTTCTGATGTTCTTCTATCCTGAAGGACAGAGTCTTTATTACTCAAACTTAACAGAGTAAAAACACCTGCTGGGCACTCCATTTCACATGCTGCCTGTTTCAGGCCTAATCAACTCCACCCCAGCTGGGGAAAACCGTAGGTGTTCCTTAACACCATTAGTGCAGCTGCTTCCAGCAACTGCCCATGTGGCCTCCAAAAACTGAAAACCTACTTTTTCACCTCGCTCAGGGTGCAAAGAAAGTAGTGTCTGATAGCCTGGGGCTAGTGAACTCTGTTCTTAACTTGCCCACTGGATAAGTGGAAGTTTTTGGCAGGAATTAAAATAATAGAAGAACTGTAATAAATGCTGCTCATTAAAAATTTTTTGGGCGATAGTTGCCTGAATAGCAAGCCGTAAAACTGACTTTCTTTACACCCTGCCATAACACACTGCCCCATCATGGGTGCTCCTAACAGCATTCTAGGGATGAAGACCCTTGATGCACCCATTTATTAGCTCTCCCACTCTAGCATCATTCCCTCTGTGACTACTGAAAAGGTACAACTCACAGGCATGATGATGAACTGAGAAAAACAGATGGTAGACATGTTCTCACACCTGCAATCATCTACATGTATTTAGCAAAGGAGCTAAATAATGAGTGGACCAAGATTATGGAAACAATCACCAACACCATGTAAGATTACAAACTGTAAAAATCCCTTACACATTCCAGTTCAATTTTCTCTATGTCATCTTCACTGGCATCCTTTCCTGCTGCGTTTACTTGTCTGCAAAGAAGAAAAGTAATCATAAAAACCTGTCTGGATAGCAAAACTGTCATACAAGTAGTCATTGCTCAGGTAGAGCCGCTGTAGAAAGCAGTTAGTAAAGAATGATTTCCTTGCCAAAAATATATGCACTCTCTGTAACTAACATATGTGCTAACAAGGCTAAGACAAATATTCTTCATTTGCCAATCTTCAAAACTTACTCCCTTGATACCCTTCATTATATTGTTCAAAGAAATGGTGAGCCTGTATTGTGTCTCCGCCTTGCATGTCTTACTAGTACCATTCATAAGAATCATTTAGATGTACATGAAAAATAATCACACTTGAAAAACAACTGAATAATACCTCTTTCCCTGAAACCTAATTATTAAGAAAAAAAAATTTTAACACGTGATGTTCACCTCTTCTTTTCTTCAATGATTAAGTTGTTTAGATAGGATTGGAGTTCAATTTCCTGGCTTATTCTTTTTTCTTCTGCAATGTTAAAGCGCTGCAAATAATAATGTTATAATAAGACAACATTTACTAAGATCTCTTTGAGACCCCTAACGGGCATGGACAATGTCCGGCCAAGATGACCATTTGTCCAGACAAACAATCAGTTGGCTGGTCATTCTGACTGGTCAAGTGCATGGCTTTAAAATAAATAACTTGAAAAAATAACATTTATATTTACAATAATTCTCTAAATTACAGAAACAGTTGAATCATAAACTATTTTAGCCACATGCAGTGATAAATTTGGAGGATAAAGATAAGAGGCCGTCCTACAGTTTCATTCTGCAATTTTGTGAATGCCAATTAATGGTTTACAGTTGCTAGTTTTTGACATTTTGACTGGTCAGAAGCAACCCATGACCGAGATAAAACTTGTTTGGCTGGTCAACATGACCTGCCACTGTCCAAAAATAATTTTGAGCCCTAAGGTAACAGCTATAAGTTACATGTATCTCCTAGCAGATAACTAAGTAATCTGTAAGTTGTGCACACAATAAATGATTTCCAGGAGCACTGACTGTTCTTTTAGCAAAATAAAAAACAAACTTGAGGGTAAAATCTGGGAAGTTGAATGGTCGGTGGTAGTCTTTGCACTAGATCCAAGTAAGTAAACTTCACGATTAAGTCAAGTAAACTTTTTACTCTCAAATTTCAGTAACCCCAGATTCTATTCAAGCCTCCACACACCTAATGTTGGTTTTTAAACTAAGTAAAACTGCACAGACTTAAGTCTTACTTGATAGACTACAGTAACAACTACCAGTAATTTAGTATTCAATGAATACCTTCTTTTTAGCTAAGCGAACTGCACTTGCTATATCATCTCCAAAGTTAAGTTTCTGTTCCTTGGCTAAATCATAAGCTGGTTATTAAACAGAACCAAAAACATCAAATATTATTATTAATTTTGAACCCTTTTGTTAAGTACAGGAATAATCACAGACAATGACTTTCTTTAGATGATCACTTTTTACGAAGTTGCCAGGGGATGTGTAATGTATTGGTAGGCAGGGAATTGAATTGCTACGAATTCCTTTCGGTTTGTATTTTCCCTTTGTTTCCAGAAGCCAGGGAAATCCCCCGGCCTTGACTCATAATGATGGAAGACTTGATTTGCCACTGGTTATGAAGAATTAGCCGGAGGATCAAAGCCAACCAGAAACGGCAAATATTTTGAACAAATAATGATGTTTTTATATTATACATGAAATATTTTTAAACCTCTTTTCAAACTTGCAAGAGCTTCATCATAACTCTCTTGTTCTAACAGGGCCTGCCCAAGAAAGAAATGTGCCTTGACTAAGTTTGTGTCCAGTTCTATTGCTCGTCGACAGTCACTTATAGCCTGTGTCCATTTCTTTAATTTAAGATGGCACAAGGCACGATTTGTAAAGAAAGTAGGAACAGTAGGATTCTTGACCTGAAAAAAAAGAAGATAAATAATTAAGAAAGAAAGTAAGAAACATCCCATCACCATCACCTCTAATTTTTTTTGTTAGCATTGCTATAGTATAGGCGAATCTTTGTTTACATTTTTTGCCTCGTTATCATATGCTTATCATTATCTGATGAAGATAATAAAATAAAAGCTCTGAATATTAAAAGAGCATAACAATTTCAGTTATCTATTTGAGCCCCATATACTGAATGGATTAGCCGAAATCTTCTTTTAAAAACTTCAATTTTTACGAAGAATGTATGGCTTGTGATAGACAGGGATGTAAATAATAGCCAGGAGCTGGGGAAAATACCCAGTTGTCAACTTGATTTTTCCGGCAGAAAAAAAATTGCAGTCTTTAAAAAGGCAACTGTTTTCTTCTCATATTACCCGCCCATCAAATGCCACTTTCTGTCTGTTATAAATTTAAGCTACATCCCAGGATAGATGTACATGAAATAAATCATATAAGAACTACGGAAATGAAATCAAATGAGGAATGATCCTCCCAGCTGTGAATGCAATTTATGCAATTCTTTAAGAACCCTGAATAAAGTTCAGGACCTCAACAGGATTTGAACCCATGACCTCACAATGCAGTTTCCATGGTCTTTGCTAAGAACGCCTGGGACCATGACCCCATTTTAGCACCAACACACGAAAAAAAAAGACAGAAACGCCTGCATTTAAAGAGTCTTGCGGCTGAAGCAAGCAAGACTGAAAAAAAAACAGTCTGTCAAGCCTGGAGGCCATTTTATTATCATGACAACAATTCTTGACTCTACCATCACTTCTATCATCACCACCAATCACATCAGCAACACTCCCACCATTGTTCACTATCAAAAATACCATTACTGCCAACACCATATAATTAACATCACAACATTATCACAACACAACCATACATGTAACTATTTGCCATCAGTAACACCAAACTCGGGAGGATTGATAATTCTTTAGTTTTGAATTTTGGTTACATCATGTGAAAATCAAGAATACCACCACTGCCATGGACCACCATTAACACTATCACCATCATAATAACAACAGACATATATTGTCAACACCAATGTCGTTACCATCACTACCACTACCACTACAATAACACAATACTAATGCCATTAACACCTTCATCACGTCCTGTCACCACACCCCTTACCACAACTACCCTGGGGTATACAATTGATGAAATTGATAATCAGTGATAATCGATATCAATCAATACCAATCGATATCAATTAATCGATTGATATTGATAATTGATGACCAATCAATGGGGAAGATTCATGTGGTTATTGATAGGTATCGATTTTCAATAACAATCAACAGATAAATTGATATTGATTGGTATTGATTGGTTGGAGATTGATGGAATCGGCATATAGATATCACATCTTTGTATGCAGTATTGTAAACACATTTCATTTTAATGCTTTCAACATTAACAGTAGATCAATACCACAGGTGTCCGTTTTCTTTTGACAACTCAAAAGTTTGTTCCCATTCTTGCCTCCCATCCACACATATACCATGAAAAAGCTTGGACTGTTGGTGGCTGAGCTATCCACAATGGTTAACAACTTAAAACCCGTTTCTACGTTCTCCTCTTTTTCTGGTTAGCAATAAACACTTCACTGACATTCACCTCAAAACCGCAAAGATGGTAGCCTTTGATGATGCACCTTATATTCAGTAAAGCCTCTTCCCGGGCTTCTTACATAGACATAATGACACCGAAAGGCAATGATGGGCAAGTGGGTAATTTGAGTACACAAGCAAGGGGTACATTCTTTGCTTGAGAAGACTGGGTCAGAATTGATTTACCAATTTCGTCCCTAGGGCTTCCTAAAAATGGCGGATGATTGGACAGGCAGTAGGCATTATGTCTGTTCGAGGTTGCTGTGCAAATCGATAGCAATCCATGAACGCTAGCCTGTTCCAGGCGTTCAGATAGTGGGGAGCGGTGCGAAGTAAAAAGGAGCGCGAAAAAATAAAAGCGAGGGAGGGGTGGAGGTGAGAGAGGGAGCGCCTGTTAGATTTGTTTTAAATAGACTCTTCCGCCCTCTCAGACCGCATCAGCTGTAGGTGGTCTTCACTTGTCAATCATTACTGGTGTTACAGCCCCATACATTTATTATTTTTCTTGCGAATAAATCAAAATTTCTCAGATCAAAAATTAATATTAAGTTTACATAGTCTTACTAAAAACCTAATGTAAAACTTTCAGACAATAGAGAGCAGGAGAAGTATTCATGTACAATGAATTTATTTACGGCTTTAAAACATGATTTCAGCGTGTACGTGACAAAATAATTATGAATCAAGTGACAAACAAATATCGCTCATTTCGATAGAAAGCCGTTTCAATACAGATCGTTAACTCAAGTAATGAAAATGCACAACAATAATATCGAAGGGAAAATTTACTATTCGGTGATTGACTGGACCTTGTCAATAGCGATAGCTGCAACTTGCTTTCCAAGCTTTCCTTTTTGGAGTCCATTTGTCTATTCCTTAGAAAACCACGATTTGGGACTTCAGTATACAATTTCACAGCTTTCACTTTTAACGGCTTCATCCACATCTTCTTCTATCATTGCCGCCGCTACTCCGATTTTGTTCAAATGTTCCTCTTGGTCTTTTCATGATGGTTATCAACGGAGTTACACAATCGTAAATGGCAATCATTCTATCCTGCCTTCATTCCAACGCACGCTTTATTCGAGGAAAAAGCTGGAAAATAAGACTTTTCCCAAAGCCAGTCGGTGAAATTGTCAACACATCTATCCTACCGATTACGTGTTTTAAACAGTTTCTTTGCTCCTCGCGTTTAGCTACTACATTTGGAAAGTCACTCAGCACTGTGTTTGTTGCGAGTTCGAATTCTGCTTGACGGGACGTAGAGTCTGTCATCACCGCCATATCGCATTTCTCTCTGTGATCGAAGATGCTCCACTGTTGACAAAAACTGTCAAAATCAACCAATCAGAGGGTATACCAGGATCTGGTATACCGGAACGCACTTTTGTTAAAAATTCTTACAAGCGTTCCCGCACCTCTCTTCCCAGTCCCCCCTCTACTTTTCATCGCTTTCTTTACTTCGCACCGCTCTCCACTATCTGAACGCTTGGAACAGGCTACATGAACGCTTTTTGTGTGGTTATCGATTGATCATTGATTGACCAATACCAACTGATACCAACTAATTTTTTTTGATTGATACCAACAAAATATATTGATTGATTGGTTTCCTGATCACCGATTTCTATTGATTAGATACCCTGTGAACTACCAGGAATTAAAATATATTTATATTTTTGTAGGATCAAAAATAAGAATAGAAATAGAAAGAAAAAAATGGCCCACATATAGAAATATACAATATATTTTGTTGGCGAATGAATTTCTTGAAATACCGGCCGGTAGGGGAAGCATCCGCAACAGAAAATTACAGTATCATTACGGACTTAACAGCCCAATCAAATTTATCGAATAAAAAACTGTTTAAGAAGCAATCTGTCTATCACTATGTCTTAAGCTGAAGTTACAATGAACTATTAAACATAAATAAACCATAAAGAACCTCTAAACTTTATCACATTGTCAGGACTGAACGGCATTTACTTCGTGTACCGAACACAAATGACGTAGAACAAGAACAAAAACCCATGAAACAATAAGAAACAAATTCTTCCCTGAACAGAAAACAAAGAGGTATTTTTCGTCATCTGTGTCCAGCACACGAAGTTTTGAACTTACTATAGCTTTTGTGTAACACTGAGCCGCATCGTCGTAATGTCTTCCACAAAAAAGACGATTGCCTTGTTCTTTAAGTTCTATGGCCGTCATCCCAGAGAGCAGTATTCCATTAAAACATCTCCTTCCCCTAGAATTTGTTTAAAATAAATCAACGGATGTATTTTCCTAGTCGACAGCAGTTTCACACTGCAATCCACGACCGCAAAGGATTGATGTTGACATATTTTGTCCAGGGTATAGACGGGAAATTTTATGTCACGATACGAGTCACGTTACGAGTAGCCGTAGCAGTAGCAAGCAGTAGCAGTAGCAGTAAAGGTATTTTGTATTTTCAGCCCAATGGATAGACTTATTGTTCTGTGACACAGATTTAACCTTTTTACAAGAAGCGAACATCGAATGATTTAGTAACGTGTAATAAAAAAAATTCGCAAATCTCATTTTGTCGATTTGTTGGGCTGACAAGAGTTAGCTTAGGATATAAAGCTAATATTGATTGATCGAAGCCGGCCTTCAGCTGCAGTGATTTCTGATTTTAAAATGATCTGTAGATGCTCGAGGTAAGCCTACATATAAATACTAACAGTTTCTTTGTATGATTTCTTGAATACCTTATATAACTCTGATGAGGTTTATCCGCTAGCCGAGAGGCTTGCCGGTCTGGAGTGAGGTAGAATGTATGTCTTTTATTTTTACATTTAATATAATTTTTTGTTGGTTTTTTTCGCGAAGGCTGAGGTAAGAGGGATGCCTTAGGCTGATAGTTTTTAACGAGGCTTCGATTATTTTTGGCCATCAAAACACCGAATCTATCTAAGACGAAAACATTCTCTTTTTTTGTACTGCTAGGTTAAGTTTCCTTAGTATATGTAATAGCATGATTTGTAGTGATACTTGGCATGAATACCACGAGTGTTATTTGGAAATTGTTATACGTATTCGTCGAAATCTTATCCAGATCATGTGTTTTATAGGGCCGGTGTTGACTGATGTTACGGGCGACATCTTGGTCAACTGTTGGTCGACATAATATTATGGGTTGTTTTATCAGTCGAGCATTGGTCGAGTATTGGTTGAGTCTCAGTCACATCTTGAACAGGACTCAACCAATAATATTGTTGGCCATTAAAGTGTATCGGTTGACTGTCAGTCAATAGTCGGTAGTTACTTCGCTGACAGATTACCGACATATCACCAACACTTAATCAATGTTCTGCCGATACCTTGACCAATACCTTGACCTTGATCTTAACTGACTCTCAACCACCACTTGACCAATGACAACTGATATGTCAACCGACAGATGACTGAGATGTTGGCCAATACGTCAAAATTTCCTGTGATTTGGTACATGTAACTGATCAATCTGGTATCAGCGCCTTGTGGATGAGGTTAGAAAAAAAATTTGTACAGGTGATGAAGATCATCGACCATACGTTACACCTCCAATACCTTATGGGCACGTGACTGATGGCTCACTGATACATTGCTGACACACTACCAATGCTATCGTGACGGTCACTCAATTGTCACTTTTTTTGACACTTGACCTATGTATAGTGACCAATATGTAGACTGACAGTTGACTGAGATGTTGGCCTATACAACAGTCGACACCCCCTTTATGACACATGATCAGTGATGTGTATGTTACAGGTCAAAAATATTAATCAGACGTAATAATTTATTAATTTTGACCTGTAACATTTACATTTGCGATAACCAATCATGAAAAAAATTAAAATACATGAAGTCATGATTACCTTGGGAATCATGTGAGTAGTATTGTATTTGCTGTCGTATTTATTCCCTCTTTTAACATTTTCAGTGGTTATTTTACTGTTTCACTCAATTTGGTGGCAGAATTCCTACTGTTTGAATTTTGATAAATATCTTGACACAGCTCCTTTGACATGACTACCATAATGACATCAATCTGATATGTCAACCATCTCCACCCCTCTAACCCCCTAACCTATTGGGATGTAGTGGGGGGGAGACTAAGGCTATTGTCACACCTATCTGGATAGCTCTTGGGCCGACAGTGCAACAGTTCCAACAAAGTTCACCAGAACTTTCAAATTATGAAAAAGAAATGTAGTTCTATTTTTGATTGACCAATGGGTTTCTAACAGATATTATATGCAGTAGGAAAGCATTAATGTGACTTATGATTGAAATTATTATTATTATTTTGCAGGTTTATGAATCCTCCAGCAAAGAAGAATGAAGCCTACCAGCCTACAGTCATAGAGCAAACAGCAAATATTATCACCCATGGGGTAAAAACTATATACAGTAACCTGCTGCTTACTACCTAAATATGCTTACTATTAATTTTTGGCCATCGTTAAGATCAACGTCAAAAAATATTATTTTTATTTGCTATAGTAAGGCCTGGTTCAAGTACCAAACTATTCATGAGCTGAACCTACAGTTAATACATTGAATTAAGCAACTTTAAGCAACTTGAAGTTTAATTTGGTGACTGAGTGTTTTAAGGAACACCTATGATGCAATTTGGAACAGCTCAGGTATTCTTCTCGCAAAGCCCATCCAGGAATTTCAACTTTGGAGCAATTTTGGAATGGCTTTGATTCAGATGCCAAACTTTTCAAGTGCCAATATTAATGCATAAATAATTGTTATAACTGTACTTTGCAACTAAGTTCGACTGAAATGACCATTTTTCTCCTTTTGAATTTAGTTTGGCTGGAATTAAGATCGGCATCTGAATCAATTCAGCTGGCCTTATTAATTTGGGTTGGCCTTAATTCAAATTAGAATCCGCTCATGAAGAGTCTGGCATCTTAACCAGGCTTAACTATATTTTCTTATCTGTGTTGCAGATGTTTGTTTTCCCAGCTGTATATGCAGTTTTACGTCTTCACCAAAACTCTAAAAAGCTTTCAACAACTCACCGATTTATTGCTGAACTTTACGGGGTCTCCTTCATCCTTGTGTTCTTGATATCCACCTTATTTCACATAGTTTGCCTCATGGGAAAAGCCAGGTATGACTTCAATATTATGTGACTTAGCTTTTGTCACAGATGTTAATTATCTTAACTTTGGCCAGTAACATCTGCAAAACAGCATCTCAAGATCAACAAATTACCGAAAGTGTTTTTTAAATTTCCCCTCAGCTTGATTGGCAAATCGAACCATGGCTTTTTAACAGGAAAAGTATGGCACATTATCAAATCCTGGTACACAGATCAGGGCCCAGAACAAGGATTTCATCGCTGGCTTACTGACAGACTTAACGTTTAGTTTTGAGTATGGTACATGTAGGCTATATATAACTTGTCAGGGCTTCTAACATGATGCAATTGAGTTTTGCACAGTTTGTCTCCAGTTGTATCCAATATCAAAAAATCCATAAGAAAACATGTAATTGCCCCTCCCCCCACCCCCCCGCAAAAAAAAAAACACACCGAAAACACCACAGCAGTGTCTGAAATTTCTAATGTTGGTGTGAATCAAATGAGCAAACATTTTATGTGAAATCATTACTCTAGGAATTGCTGTCATAATTTCCTGCTACAGGACCTTTTTTGAGTTGCATTTATTTCTAGAACAGATTATGGTGAGATGATTTGTTAGTGTAACTTTTAAATGTCAGGACAAATCCCTTCGGTGTTACCATTCAAATGGAACCGCTTGTGCAGAACTTTTGCACAGTTTTATTGGTCAGGATTTTATGAAAATTTTCGGATTTTTAGTGATTTTTTTTTATTTTGCCCACTGTTATGGTTAAGTGGCTTCCTAGAAGTTGCTCTAACTTCCCAATGGTTTTTGCACCCTATCAGAAGCTTGAATTGTGGTGTTAATCGAATCTTGATGGTCAATATACCTTAACTCCATTATAGGTGCATGATTTTAAATTTTACTCTTTTTGAATATTTTTCTCTTGTTCAGTTCCCTCAGGTATTTCCTCCATCTGAGTGATCGCTGTATTATTTATTTTTTCATTGCTGCATCATATATGCCTTGGTATGTTTCCAAGATTTATTGTAGCATCATTCATGACATTTCTCTCACTTTATGACTGTTATTACACACAGTAATAAGCCAACAATTAGTAAGTCATATGCTGAGCAACTTATAAATAATCAGCGACAAAATGAGTTTTGACACTTTGCCCTAAACTGGCTTTTTTACCTTTTACTGACCTCAAAAGGGGGAAATATAGCTTCTCCTCCCCCATCCAGTGTTGTGCCACTGTTAGAGCTACCGATAGAAAACAACAAACTACCCAAACTTTGAATGGAGATGACAGGGGAGGGGTGTGGATTCTTTTGTTCTCTGAAGTTTCCCTATTTGAGTACAATGTCTTAACAATTTTGTTGCCGATTGTACTTGTAGCCTTTGTGTGGAAGTGAGTCTGATGATGTCTTTTTTTTTATAGAAAATTGCATACCATTTATATAAAATAAATAAATTATAACTATTTAGAGGTAGCACATTCATTTAGTGGTTCTTCTTCAGGTTTTTGAGTAAGGGAGAGAGCCAACAACAACACCAGTACTTGAACCTGGGGCCACTTTGGTGGGAGACAAGTGCTCTTACCACGTGCACCAGTCCCTTGCTCCCTGATTCACATGCACAAGAGCATTAGATTAATCAATAGAAATGTGTCTACAGGTTGGTGTTGAAAGATGTTGGTAGAATAGGCGATTTTGTAGCTTGGCTGTTGTGGATTCTAGCGGTTACTGGCACTATTTATTCCTACATGTTTCATGAAAGGTATTTATAACAAGCATTCACAACAGCTCTTGCTAAGCCAATGTGCTTGGTGGATTTCCTTCCTTGTTTATATTTAGCTATTGTGTTAGTTTCTCACTTGTGAGTGATGCAAAATTTTCCCACCAGTTTCACACTGGCTGCTCTGCCACCAAAATTTTCCTGGAAATCGCACAAGTCAGTCTCCTGGCAGGCTAGGCCAGACTGGTCATCTTGAAAATGAAATATGGCTTTTTGCGACAGTCTTTGCCATCCTTAGTATTTGGAAACTAGTCTGATCTGGCGGGACAGTTTGCATTAATGGTGAAATTCGGCCAGTTCTGACTTTAAATGGTAAGTTCCCTCAGAGAGCAGAGGAAAAGTTAATAGGGCTGGGGCGTAGGTACGGTGGGTGGGGGCAGACAAGGTGGAAGAACAATATTAGTACAGGGAGGTATATTTTTCCTCATCATTTCCTCTGCCTTTTCTTTTTGTTTGTTAGCAACCCCCTCATCTTCCCAATCTTTTTTTGCTTTTATAACCCACGATGGTAGTTAAAATTTTAAACTGAAATTTTGAGCTTGCACTCTGTTTATATTTGTGTATCTAATGTAGATCAAAGGTGTTGAGAACTGAATTTGAACGTTATTGAAATTGGGCGAAAGTTTCAACAGACAGACTGCACTCGTAATACATAAGAAAATGTAAGAAAACCAGGGGCACCCAACGACAGTTTCCTTATAAATTCATTGAAAACACTTTTTAGGTTATCCAGAGTACTTTTAGATCTCTAGAAAGGCTTTCTAAGCGGCGCTATAAAATTTGTATCTGTTCGGTCATCCTAGGGGAACTTGAGTGTTTTCGAAATTACAAGGGCTTCAGCACTATTTTCCTGAAATTTTTAGGTGCAATTTAGCGTATTACGAAAGTGAGAATTTTACTGATTCCTCTCTCCAACACATTTGAATCCGAAAATTTTCGGTTTCCTCTGTTCTACGTAAAATAGCCTAACCTGAGGGGTGAATTGTGAAAACTTTAGAAAATCATAGGGAATTCATTAGATAAGGCTTCGAAAATGGAACGGTCATCTAGAAATTTTTTTTTTTAAATTTTTATTATACAAACGATCCATGACGTTTTATTACCTCAGTGAGGAGGTCACCAAGAGTAATTGTTTAAAACATCTTATTGATAGGTATTGATTGGATTATTTTTTGTTATAGGTATAAAACTGTAGCAACAATCCTGTACTTAATAGTTGGAATATGCCCGTCTCTCCCACTTGTTTTCGCCTCTGTAAGTATGTTATATGTTATTTTCCCTTACTTCCAATTTCCCTTCGCCACACGAGAAGTTAGATCATCCTCCACCTAAGTTACTTCGCCTCTTAGTGCTTCACTGTAATGAAATCACAATGGGTGATAATATCACGTTAATAATCTTGCAAATCTTTTGATTTCTTTCCACTCGAAACGCGCGAATTTGCCCCAAAAAGGGTTACTGAGAATGAGGCGCGCGGCCTATTTGACACTTGATTTTCCGCTTTGATATCAAGTGACGTAAATTGATTTGACTTATAACACAAGATGGCCACAAATAAGAAGGATGGGTGAAAAAGGAGGGATGATATTGTGTCGCCGGATCGCCTAACAACGTAAGCTGCAAAAACACAAGTAACACTCAGTGCATGTTCATGTATCGGTGTCCGAAGAGGCACAACTGAGAGCACATTTTTAATCAGTCAATCAATCAGTGTGTCTAATACACATCATCTAAACTTTTCTACTTTACAGACGGATAAAGCTGGTCTAGCCGAGGTGGGCCTGGGTGGAGTTTTTTACGTCAGCGGTGTGGCATTTTTTAAGTTGGATGGCCGTTTACCCTTTGCGCATGCGATCTGGCATGTTTTCTGTGCAACTGGGGCGTGGTGCCATTTCTATGCAGTTTACACTCATCTTTACTTAGAAAAGCACTAGTTTTCGGCATCGTGAGAGCTGATGTTCATTGGAGTCGGACCGAGGTTGTAAGGTCACTGGTTATCGTTGATGTAAGAACAGTGTTTAAATAAATGCGAGAAAAATATCAAAAATTGTAACTGCGAATTATTCATTGTAGAAAAATTCCCGATTTTAATAGGGAGCTTAATCAACGACAGCGACGGCGACGAAAACGAGAGCGGCCAAAAAACCGCAATAAATTTACGCCCCGTCCACACGCCGGGATCCGTTTTTGTTTGACAACGGATATATTTTTCTCCGGTTTGGCCTACTGTCCGTACGTACAGTCGAACCTCCACTAACGGCCACTTCTCTACAACAGCCACCTCTCTATAAAGGCCACCTCTTCACTAACGGCCACCTCGCTACAACGGTCACCTCTTCACTAACGCTCACCTCTTCACTAACGGCCACCTCGCTACAACAGCCACCTCTCTACAACAGCCACCTCTCCACAACGGCCACTTTCTTCTGTCTCCGAGGGGGGCGTTATTAAAGGAGAGGCTCAACTGTATCTGAAAAACACGGTCACCGATAACGCATGTTTTCAAAAACGCTCTCTAGAGTGGAGATTTTTGAGAACGCCGTTTTGCTGTACTAGTGTGGATGGATGAAAACGGAGGGAGAGTCAAATTTGTAAAAGATATCAGAGGTATAGACTACGAGCAGTCCCCATTTTTCCTAAGGGATAGTAGAGCGAGCGAAATGCGAGCGCGAGTGAAAATTATCCTACGCGAGACGCGGCTCGACGCGGCTCTCCCCACCGCGTCTCGCCTTTCTCGCGTGGGATGATTTTCACGTTTCGCTCGCTCTACTACCCCTGAGGAAAAATGGAAACTACTCGTAGTCTATCAGAGATGTGGTGAAAACTATGGTCGGTGCACACAACTCAGCCAGGACCAACCACTTCACGGAAAGACTGATGATGCTGTCCTTTCCTTTCCTCCTACCCACCATAAATAAATGCCATCGAGTTTGAAAAACCTCCTGTCTATCACCAGTACAGTGGGCATGAAAATTAGTAAAATGAGTTAACGTCCTTGTGCAGTTTGGCTAAAAATGCAAGCTTCGTGCAATCAAATCTACCTCGTCTCAAATTTTAAGGCTAAAAATATGTGTCTATCAGGCTCATAAGATGGGTGCTCTCTTGTATAGCATCACCCCAGCCCTTGGCAAGGTGGGCGCTCATCAAGTTCACCCGTTTTGTCTACGTACCTCAGCAACGCAATGCTAAGTCCACAAGTATTTCCTGAGCACAAAGCGGAACTCTCAATCCATTAACCAAGTGACACTTATGACAGAATCATCTTAATATTAATCAGTTAAAAAAAAAACTACTTATTTACCCTGAGAACAGAGTCTCCCTCGATCTTCCTAGATAAGTAGGAAAGATCGAAGCGACTCTGCTAGCAGGGTACTACTTATTATAAAGTAGACCAGAAAAAAATTTCAAGGAAACTTCTAAAGTTTTCACAAGTCCTATTCCAGTGGCAAGTGCCACAGGCAGCACAGGTTCGCCAAGCTTAATAACCGTATGGTTAAAAAGTATTTACTCAAAGTTTTTAAACTTTTATAAGATATTAAATGAAGCGAAAACTTGAAAAATTTCACCACTATAACGCGGTCAAAACAAATATCTTAGCAGCACAGTATAACTGCAAACAATCCACTGAGCTTATAAATTAAAGCGGAACTAGCGAACTATCAATTCAATTTACTCACTCACTGAATCACTGCATCTCAACGCAAATTATGCGCGAAGGGGCGGGAATATCCACAAGGTTTGCGCTTATATGTCATGAAGAAGGTATAAGTGTAGCTGCACACAAGAAGCTTGACTAGTTTTTACGACACTTTAGTCTTAGCAAGCTTTATAAAGACAACTCACAGGAAAATCAGCAGCAAGGTAAGTGAATTCCATCGAATGATTAACCTTTACAAACTATTTTTTTTCATTTTTCTACAAATAAATGTATCTTCATAATCTTTCAGAAAATAAACTTAACGGAAATCATCAGAAAGCCTAGTTTTACCCGTTTTAACCGACTAATGTTTCTGCGCAAAGACACATTTTCTGTTTTAAAATTTACAGTTTAACTCTACTGGATGGATCGGTCAGCCTTACAATATTTATTCTTCATTTCAGGTTTATATTTCAGTATATATTCACTACCTTAGTGATGGCACGAGGTCGAACTTTAATTATTTTTCGAACTTTTGAGCTCCCTAAAAAGTATTCTGTTTGACTGTTTCCCTTATTTTTCAAGGACTGTTTAACAATGTCGCGTGTTTTTGCTTTGTTTCTGGCGACGGTTATCTTGGCGGCTCTCCTGCCCAATAGGTTTGTATTTGCCGAGATGATTTTTAAACCTTTGGTAGTCCCTAATATTTCCATTAGATCATATAAGCACTCGACAAGTGCTGTGAAACTGAGAATGGCTCATTAAATTAGTTATCGGTTTTTTATTATTGTTATTATTTTATACGATTACTACTTGGAAAACCGTAGCAATTCTACTAAAATAGATGCGAAAAGTCCCGATTTCTGGAAATGATGTATTCATTAGATAAAACACCGTGACAAATTTAAGCATGACAACGTTAGCCTGCGTAGCAGGGGCATGGAATTAAGTAATGGGCGCAAAAATTACGGGACGACGTACGCGCGAGGTTGAAACGTCTCCGTGGCGCGCCCAGTTCTTTGTCGCATATTACAGACGACTCCCGATAACTAGAACCTTCTAGGAAAATCGAAAAAAAGTTCGAGTTATCGGGAGTTTGAAGCAAATAACCTGAAATAGGCAAATAAGCAAATGCATGGCTGGGGAGGGAATGCAATTAAGAAACAAAGTATATAGGACATTGAATTTGAACTGGAGTGACAAAAAGTAAAGACAAAGAATTGACACGGTTGTTTTGAAATAAATTCAATATCTCGGACTTCGAGTTATCGAGGGTAAAATTATATAGAAATGATCTGAAGAAAAACAAAAATTACTTCACGCGAGTTAGCACGACGTTCGAGTTATCGAGGGTAAAATGACAGTAAATGTGTGACAGAAATCCAGGGGAAATTGACTTTGGTTCGAGTTAGCGTGAGGTTCGATTTGGCGAGGGTTCGAGTTATCGGGATTTGATTTCGGGCCCGAAAAGTTACCGGGACTTTCGAGAAACGAGCCCCAGGGCTTTTCCAGCCTTAGAAAATAGGAGCGGAGAGGGGGGTGGGAAGCCCTGGGGACGAGGTTAGTTTTTGGGAGTTATTACCTATAGCTATTCTCTCATTTAGTGGAATGAATCCGTAATAAAACCCATCCCCGACAAACTTGGTTTGGAATTATTGGGCAAAGCAATGTCATATAACCTTTTTAAAAATACTTCAATTTTATATTTTGTTTTAGTGATGCTGGGCGCCGTATTTATCGCCGCCGTTATGAAAAGTCTGATGCGAGTAAGATTATCGTAAGAAACGCTAAAGCGACCAGGTTTTTGAAGAACGAGATCGGAGACCGGAGTAGGGTGGATACATTCGTGAAGAAAACACTTCAAACCGACGAGCAAAGGCCTTTTTGAAAGGCGATAGAAGTAATAATCAAGAAAAACCAGATAGTTTGTTAGTCATATTCACAACTATATTGGTTATATACACCTGTAAGCTGTACGAGTCAGACTGAATAAAATAAAATGTTAGCTGGATCACTTATAGTTGCTCCCTGCTTCTGAGTTCTCTACCTAAACTTTTCACGCAAGTGCTAATAGAGCTTATCACTGAGTTGTCCTCCCTTCTTGTTTTGGCTCTCCAAGATTCCATCCCGACCGGTCATTGAGAGTGGACTAGAAAAGGCACCGTGGGTGATATTTCTTCTTTCGCCCTAAAAATCCAGCGCCTGCTACGAAGGCTATTTAGCAACGCAATACAAGCACAAGCATTTAGTGAGCACAAAGCGAAACTATCAAACCATTCACCAGGGTTTTCATTTGAGGCCGGAGGCCGGACATTTCGTCCGGTCGTTTGCCATTCCACGTCCGGTACTTTGAGATCAATATTGGCGATTTTTTTTACTGCTGTATTATATATTTTTCTTACTAAGGCATCTCATGAACATACTGACTAGAGGATAACAAAATAATCAATTACATTCTACAAAACGGCCATATAACTCTTTTTTCTTTGCTTATTGAGCGGCGGGATATTTTATTGGTTTCCCCTCTTCATTTAAACGGAATTGTTACCAAACATCTTTTTTGAAAATCAAATAAATTCGCAATGATAAGCCAATGAAAATTCTGTTGTTGCTATTTTCCCTCCCCCTCCCCCTACCAACTGACCATTTTCATTCAGTAATTTACTTTTTAACGAGAATTTTAGTGAGCGCCAGCATTGCCTAGGAAACTGTTTCCTTAGTTCCAGAAACGCTGGAAATGGCGTTTCTGAGTATTCTATTTTAAAAATTTCCTGGGGGAGCATGCCCCCAGACCCCCCTAGGTGCTTGCGCCTTCGGCGCTCGTGACGCGCCTTACGGCGCCAAGAAAAATTCACGTCCGGTGCTTTCAGAAGTATGTCCGCTACTTTACAAAACAGTTGAAAACCCTGATTCACCAAGTGACACTATGTGACTGATCTTAACCCATTGATGACCACCACGGTCGTTTTCGTTCCATATGGAACGACGCATATCTTCCCTCCTGGACCCATTTAGCTTTTCACTTTTTACATTTGTTAAGCAGCAAATTCACTAAGGATAGATCTTTCCACAGGTACCGCATTTTTCCAATTCTGACCAATCCTGACAGAGTTAAACACAAGAAAACATGTTATAATGATAATAATAATAATAATATTAATATTAATAATCATGATTATAATAATAATAATAATAATAACGACTTTATTAGTAGTTCATCCACGAAATGGCTCTTCGCCCACTTATAGCGGAGCACTATGGGTAAGAAAATTTGGTAATCTACCCATCCGAGAAATT